AGGCTTGGGTCATTTCTCCCCCCTGCCCCCACCCCCTCCCTTACCACCCATTCCGCCCCCTCCCTCTCCCCCCTACCCCTTCAATACCCAGCAGAAACTATTTTGTCCTTATTTCTAATTTTGTTGTAGAGAGAGTATAAGCCATAATAGGAAGAAACAAGTGTTTTTGCTGGTTGAGATAAGGATAGCTATACAGGGAGTTGACTCGCATTGCTTTCCTGTACATGTGTGTTACCTTCTAAGTTAATTCTTGTTGATCTAACCTTTTCTCTAGTTCCTGGTCCCTTTTTCCTATTAGCCTCAGTTGCTTTTAAGGTATCTGCTTTAGTTTCTCTGCGTTAAGGGCAACAAATGCTAACTAATTTTTTAGGTGTCTTACTTATCCTCACCCCTTCCTTGTACACATTACTTTTTGTTAGAAGCACTCAGCTTATGCAGGTAGCCACAGTATTCACTAAAAGAGGCAGAATAATCAATTTTGATTAGTTACTTAAAAACAAAGATAATCTACTTCCAAATATTCACCAATTATTTGAGAAATTTAAAACTTTTTTCAAAATTGACTGCAAACATACTTCGTTTCAAACATAAGTATTTAAACCTCACTATAATACTTTTTATACTTATCAAATAGTAATTACGTGAGATTTTACAAACTATGTTGAGAAGCATTTATCTCTTATGTGGTTCAGAATATGTTTATAAGCTCTTTAGATTTATATTTTATTATGCCTACTAAGTCTCAATTTAATACACACATTGTGGCTGGGTTTGTTTTAATTTATTGCAAAATCATTAAAATCTTTAATGAGATAATGCCTTGAAAGGCATGGCAGCCTTTTCTGCTTTATGGTTTAAATGATGGCTTCCCGCATTGGTTTTCCTAGGTTGGAAAATGAGTATGTTAATACAGTCTGTCTCCACCTTTCAAACAAAATCATTAGGGCTTTTGGGGGGAACAAATTATTTATTCAGTAATCTTTTAAGATATAAATCACAAGTGTCTTTCCATGAGACTGTGAAATAAGGCAGAATTCATATACATATGTTCTTCATGATAATCTAGACTTTTATTTGATTCCAGATAACTTTGGACAGTAGACATGGTAAGATGTTTTCCCTTGAATAAATAACAGTCAAATTACATCAATGAAATAAAATATACTGTGGGCTTAATACATTGTAAATATTACAGAAGTACTACTTTGCTATAGTAATTTAATGACTGAGGCTACATTTAATAACAATCTTACCAGTACTTGTATACAAAGTATTATACAGATTACTAACGAAGATATTACAGCAGTTGCAATGATGTTACCAGTTCAACAAACATCTAACAATACGATATTCTTCTAAGAGGAAAATTAATAGTGTTAGATTTATAGACAATAAAGACTTATGTTTTCCACTTGAAACACTGGAAATAAGAATCCAGGTAATCTGGTGTCTTGATTCATATTATTACAAGAAAAAGTTTCCTTTCTTGGGGACTCTGATCCCCAGGAGGCCTCATCCAGTAAGTTTACATGAAGAGAGCTTTCAGAATGCCACAGCAATGTAAAGAAACCTTCCTATCTGAAAATCACTGATTTGTAAACCACTGCTTGAACATCTGACTTTTTAAAAAACCTATTTACATACATTCAGCCCAAATCAGTAGATAGAATGTTTTGTCTATATTACAATAGGCATTGTTAACATTTCATCAGAAGGCCAGTGCAAGACACATGTGAATAGCCATTGCCCAGCATTTAGGAGATTTTTAAATATCATACAAATATACAGTTAAGAGTATGAGAAATCTAATTTTGCACATGATATCAGTGGACTCTTTAATGGAGATGGGATGACAGAAATTAATCAACAGGACAGTCCCTAGAGTGCTACTCATCCAGGGCCTGATTCTCACCTGGTGATGGGGCCTGTTACCTGCAGAGTAGGATTTTAGGCAACAAAATTCCTTGACATTGAATACCAGACAGACCTGGTTCAAAGTGCCGGGGTGGGTTGGGGATCAGCTCAGTTGCAGACTCTGCAGAGTCTCCTAGATTTATATTTTAAACATATATTTAAGACATAATTAAAAATTAGATTGGAGACAGCCTTACTGGTCTAAATGAAACTATTAGCCTGGGACTGTTCATCATTATTCTGAAAAAGTTGAGGTTTGGGAATTTGGCCCTTTCTAAAGACAAGTTATGCAGAATGCATTGTCAGGGCAAATGTGCAATCCTTAGAGGGAAGCAGATAAGTCTGATGTCAGAGCTTATAAATACTTAAATTTAAGTCACAGTTAAATTATATGATCTAATTAAGGGACTAGTAAGTGAATGATACTAATGAACAGTAATTCGAATGGGTGTATTCACTGGGGAGGACATTTTAGTCTCTCAAGTTAGGAAATGATATGAGACGTGTCAAAATGAATCCAACTAATTTTAAACGTTTTTAAATGAAGGTAGTATAACACATACATGATGATATTTCACAGATATTTCTTAGAATATCAATAAGCACCAAGTTTAGTGCTGTCAGCCCCATTGTCCCTTAATTTATTATATGTGATTTAGATTTGAAAGCACAATACACTATAAAATGTACATGGCATTCACACAAACACAGTTTTGAAAATGAATCCTGGATTTTTTTATACCTATAATAATTTCATCTTTACCAAGTCTTCACAGCTGTGAGAAGAGAGTCAGTACTACCTGATGAGCTTGGAGACTGTGGGTTAAGATTCAGAATGATGCAGGACAAAAGACTGGCAATTCTTCAGTGGAAACTAGACCCTGGTGAGGCTTTGTCAATAACCTTCTCTCCTTCTATAGAAATTTTATTACTCTTCCAGCAACCTGAGCCCTCGTCTGCATATCACAGAAAGGCAAAGTGAGGGACCCAGCAGGCACATTCTAGCTGTATCCCAGCCCAGTCCATAGACCACTTTCCATCTGGACCATCAATTGCAAAAAGGGGCACTGTCCCATTACACTGGGTATTACAAGAGCTGGAAATTACCAGATAGACACTAGCTCCACTTTACTTCATGCTACATAGGCTCCAGGGCCTGGTAGGAGTCATGCTCTGTCTGTATAAGAAAGACTACAAGTAAAATTTGTCAGGGTCAAGTGGCTTCTTAAGCAGTATCTTTCCTTACTGGAAGAGGGCCCAATTCTGAGCATGACAGCACTATTTTAAAGAGTGTGAGACTGGGGCATCACAAGAAAGCAAGCCGTGCTCATCTTTATGCTTTAGCAGATCTCCTAAGTGAGCAGAGAAGTCTATTCCTTAGCCCAAACTTACCTAGGCAAAACTGGATGCCGGACTGTCACCAGGAGAACCTGGGCAAAGCACAGAAACAGCGCGTTACCCAGGCCTCAACCTCAAGTGTGCCAGCTCTTCTCTGCCCTTTTCTATGTCACCCTCTATCTGAGCCAGCCTCATGAGCCACAGAACATGGACCTGGTAGTCCTACTTTAGTGTGAGGTGTATAGTATTAGTTACAACTGGGACTCATACAGCCTACATGCACAATTGAAAATGCTCCTGTTTTGGGTTTCCAGAGTAATCTTCCTTTCAATGATCTGCATCTTTGTGGACTAGATCGATATTAAGTGCTCAGAAACTCACTCACTCTCATTTCCCTACAATAACACTGTAAATACAAATCTTTACTGGAATATCTGTCACTGATTATTCCTTGGTAAACACTGGTCTTATGTAACACCTAAAGATATTAGCAATACCTGACTCAGTTTCTTAAGGGAGTAGATTTTCTGAATGGTCATAGCCAGAAATTTTATCAACAAGATTTCTGGAAGAACTCAATTTTAGAAACTGAATTCATGTGCAAGAGTGCAGGAAGTGGCAGAGTTTACACTTGGTCACAGTTTTCTCACTTTACAACATTGCTGTAACATTTACAGGATAGAAACACACCTACACACATTTATATTCACACTCACACACAGTACAATTTTACTGATCCAGACAATACTCTTTTCAGTTAAAAAATAAAGACTATTGTTTGGTGACCCAGGCATGACATCTACTTATACCTGGAATATAAGAATGCAAATACTCTTCAAGTAAACAGTAACTGCACAGTGATAACAATATACATTAAGTTGACACATGCTGTCTTAACAGGTTCAATAATCGCTAACAACTGAAGAAAATCAGAGATGTCAGCTTTAAAAAGTCAACATGCTTTCTTTCTTCCATTCTGATTATAATCCATGACCCCCACAGAGCAGCTATGGTCCAGGAGATAACAAATGTCTCCCTATGAAAATACAGGGCGAATGAATTTTTAAGTGTCAGTGAATTCTGCTCAGTACTTTGGATAGTCTTCAATTTTTTTCTTCTTGTGTTAACAGAAAAAAATAACCTTTATGGTTATTTCAGTGTCAATTTTAAATAGAGATACTTAGAGAAATATTAAGGTTTCTAAAGTTATATTATGGACAATAATATCTTTTTTAAAAAGTGGTCTTGTTGGCATATATCCACTGCTGTTTTCCATTGTTCTCAACAAAGTCTACCTTTTAGTTTTGCTAAGCTAGACAAAAATAACACAGTAAACACTGATACACCACTCACAGGACACAATACGTTTTACAAAATATCTCTACTTTAGTACTAGTAAAAATGGACATCTCTGATATTAAACAGACACATGTCACATTATAATGAAAGTTGTGATTACAAAGGCATGACTCGTTTGATGGGATTTTTCTATAGGTACTTAGACTTCAAACTGTGTAGCCAAAGGTTTCCCTCGTATTTCACGGAGACTTTGAAGGACTGTTCAGTCACTGAAGCAACAGGCTTTCTTTACTGTAAACCCCTGGAGAACAGAGTTTGAGTACCTAAACTATTGAAAATGTCAGCGAACTGATATATGAGCATGGTGACAGTCACCTTTTCACTGAGCATGGTAAACTTAAAAATATATAAACCGATGAGATGACAGACTCTTCTAGATTTTTGAGCTTTAAAAAAAAGAGAAATTTCTTTTTCCTGTGCTGCCAGAGAGGCGTCAGGCTCACAGAGCCTCGGCAGACGTGTCTGTGGACACAGACATGGTCACCTTGGCGATCTTGACCGTGCTCTTGATACAGCTTTCCGCAGCCCTGTGAACACTGGCCGTGTTGTTGGCATGCTTGTGCAGGCAGTCCGAGTCCCCCATGCTGTTATCCAAAGGCTGCGCGGTGCCTTCACACGAGGGGAACATGCTCCGGAAGGCATGCCTCAGGTCCTTGCTCCGCAGAGCATAGATGATGGGGTTCACGGTGGAGTTCAGCAGGCAGAGCATACTGCAGAAGGCGAACACCGTCTTAATGAGCTTGTTCATCTTCCCAAAGACATCGTACACCATGATCGCAAGCAGAGGGCCCCAGCAGATGATCAAAACCACCAGGATCAGGACCAGGGTCTTGGCCAGCCTAATGTCCATGCGGGCTTGATCTGGCCGGGTCACCTGTACCTTGCCATCCTCTGATGTGTGGATGATGATGCTTTTCTGCGTTCCACGCTGAATCATGCGGACTGCGTGGCTGTGGGCCTTCCAGAGGATGTACATGTACGCGTACACGATGAATAGCAGCAGCACGCTGGTGACCCCAATCCAGAACATCAGGTAGGTTTCGTCAATGAGTGGGAAAATGTCCGAGCAAACAGACTGAAGCTTCTTGCAGTTCCAGCCTAGGAGAGGGAGCACAGCGATTACAATCGCTATGGTCCACATCAGGCAAAAGGCCACCACGGCCTTGGGCCTGGTGACGATCCTCTTATAGGCCAGGGGCCTGTGAATAGATATGTATCTGTCGATGGCTGTGAGGAACAGGCTGCCTACAGAGGCGGTGAAAGAGGCCGTGACCCCACCCAATTTGAACAGAAACACATTGGGACTGTCTTTGCGGTGGAACACATGGAAGTCAACGAAGCTGTAGACAAAAATGACACTGCCCAGCAGGTCTGCCACCGCCAGGCTGCCGATGAAGTGGTAGGAAGGCCTGCAGCGCAGGCTGCGGGAGTGAAGGATGACACACAGCACCAGCAGGTTCTCCAGAACCGTGAAGGTCCCCAGTGTGAGGGACAGCACGGCAATAGCCAGCTGCTGGCTAGGATTCAGAATCATGAAACACTCCATGTCCATGAAGTTCTCCCCGCACTGGATGTTCTCATCATTTTCCTTGTAGGATGACAGAGACTTGTTGTAGAATTCTGTAATGTTCCCTGTGTCTGCTGGGACCATCTGGGGAGTGTCTCCTGCAGTCATCTTTTCTTGGAAGGGACTGCCCCTGAAGGATGTCAGAGGAAATTTCTGTGGGAAGTACCCTAATTTGGATGCCATGTCGCCTTTGATGTCTTCGTACTGGATGTCATTCGAACCCACGTAGAGGAGGTCTGTGGTGATCGTGCGGAAGGTGGTATCTGCAAGGCCATCTAGGATCGACTTCATAACCTCAGTCTTCAAATGGGCCAGACTCAAAGTGACTGAGAAAGAGTTGGCAGAAGGGAACCCTAACAGGAGGGAAAACAGAGAAGCTGAATTCTGAGAAAACCAGGAGAATAGTAAACATACTGTGTACATTACAAACATGTCTTCAGGGTATTTTGTTCCTGACTCTGAACACAGGTCAAGTTCTTATATATTCAGTCAATACAATGAGTCAGTAACGCAGAAAGGCACCCCAAAGCAGAGAATGGAGCAGCACGCACCAGACACGTAATGCTCTTGTCACTTAAATTCTCTGGATTGAAGTCACTGTGTGAGTCCTGAATGGACATCCAGGGTCAAATAGGCCAAGTTACATTCAATGTAACTTGGGTGCAAGTTACATTGGGTGCAATGTATATTTCATGGGAAGTGTTTGCCTCTCCTCTACCATTACATACACAGCATCCTGTGCGGATGTGGCTGGGAATAGCAACCATACATCACATGATCCATGCTCTAGAACACACCTTGTCAGAGAGGTAAGACTAAACATACGAGACAACCAAAGAATGAGACAGTGTAGAATCAGGGGGTGAGTATATAGTGACTGGAATGCTGAGAACCAGAGGCAGTGCAAGGCCATGGTAGGCAGGCTTCCTCACCCAGAGGAGGGGAGGTGTAGATGGAGCCATGACTCATGAACTTCTAAAAAGTCTATGCCAACCAAGGAAAACATCACCAAGTCCAAACTTGCACTGAGCCTTATGGAAGACCAAGGTCTTTAACATCCGACAGGGTGATGATGGAGAACTGTATCCTCTGTGTGGTGACACAAGCACAACAGGGGACAGAAGACAGGCCTGATGAGCCCCAAGACTTTCCAAAGATGGCACTGGAAATAAAAATACTAAGAGGAGGGAGCCAAATTTTAAGGGTACTACAATTCTAAGCTAAGCAATTTTGTGTTGTTTTAAAATAAATAGCCAGAGAACTGACGTCGCCATTTATAAATGTGTGAAAAGTGGCTGTTTCTTTAGTTTAAAAAAGCAGCACAGTGTGGTATCTATAGTAATTAAAATAATCATAAAACCAGTATTTTACTTCCTATTAATTGTCTCTTGTTGCTTCTATACATAACACACTGTATTTGGGTAAGAGGGGAAGTCTCAATCTTGGAACAAATTAAGAAGTTCTGGGTCTTCCTGCTAAAATATAGCCTACCTATCTGAACCAATAATTTCATTGATTTCCGTATTATCCATTTAATAACTATGGAGCACCCATAGTGTGTCAGGCACTGTAGTAGACACTCGTGTCACATGGCCCACATGACGTGCCCCATCTTGCAGGGGCCTGCGGTTGCCCCAGCAATTATGATTAAGTATGGTGTGGCTGTGCCTGGATATGTGGAACACTCAGCCTAGGGTTGAAAGAGGCTTCCCCAACGGAAGGATGTTTATAGCAAGATGCATGATTAGTGTGGGTGGGAACAGGACACAGAGTAAAAGAAAAGATTTTTAAATGAGTAATTTTAGTGTCATAAGTTTTTATTTAAAAAAAAAAAAAAAAGGAACTTGGACCAGGCAAAAAGTACCAGATGTGACCCACCTTCCTTATTCTGCCACCTTCAAGACCAGGCCATCATCACTGCTCACCAGAATTAGGTCACATGCCTGCTGACCAGTTTTTCTGCCTCTCTCTGGTCCTAGCCCTTCTAATCACATATTTCAAAGAGAACCAAAAAGGCTTTTTTCTACTCAAGGTAGGAGAGGGATCGTTGTCATCGTAATGAGAAATAAATAAGTGTGCCACTTGAATCAGTTTCTAGCCTAAGGAGCTGCTCCATCTGTGCTAGAAAAAGTGCTCCAGCTAGGTGAAGTTGTTAGTATTCTGAATGAAGCTGACTGCATAATGATCACCTTGTCTACATTCTGTGGCAACTGTGGCTAGAGAGAGGCAAACACTACCATGCCAAATGGTGAACAGAGTGAGACCCCTCAGCACTCAAAGTGCTCCCTTGCCCCTCCATGGTCCTGTAGTCCTTTTACATGATCAGTGTGGCCTGCTCCAATGACAGCATGAAGGCACTGCCAAATAGAGGGCCCTGAATCCTCCATAGGTAACTTTTGTCATCACTCAGGAAATCAAACTTTCTTAGTTCTGCACACTGTTCCTGTACTGGCACAGAACAAGACACATGACAGCCATCAACTGTTTGCCCAGAGGCAGGAATTCCAGAGCACAAACCAAACAGAGGCACAGAGTGTGGTTAGAGTTTGCTAAGCCCAACCAAATTGGAGTAAGGGCCTAGGGGCAAAGGCCTGTTGCTGAGGCTACAGAAATAAAGGATGCAGAAATAAAAGACCACAGCCCAATGACCAAGCTGGACGCTGGTGCTTCCCAGCTGCTTTACTGAAAATCTCTCCTGAATTCTCCAACCTCAGATGGTTCTAACTAACTCTCAAGGGTCCTTAGGTTCCCTGTTTATCAGTTGTATCCTTTCTCACATTCTCATTTCTTTAAGACCATGTCCCATGCATCCCAACATTGGGCTATGTCTCCTAGAGAGTTGACTCTTGTTCTTCACAAACTTGTTTGCTAAACAACTCAATGTACATACGGAAGTTTTCGTCCATAATCAAAGGGATCCAGCCAGTCTATGAGAGCTGTTCTTCATATGGCCCTCGTAGCTCATCAAACCCATGAGACACACAACTTCCTGGCCCTAGGAGATGACTCACTGGTCTTGAGAACTCCACACACCTGCAAACCTTCCCCCCTCCTCCCACTCCTCTGAATATTCATTTCCAAGCAGCCTGCCTGTTAAACTTACCTTTCTAGGCCTATGTCAATTCTATTTCCGTGTCTGAGACCTTCCTAACCAGTATGAGCCACCAGGCCAAACTAGTTCCCCTAGTTCATCCTTCCGTCAGAGGCCTCATTCTACCATTTAATCATAGGTTTATATATTTATTTCCACAACTAGAATGCAGTTTCCAAACACAGAGTGTCTTTTGTTTGTTTGTTTTTCTGTAATGTGATTTACCAGCCTGAGAGCAGGAGAAGAGATAGCTGGGCTCCCACAGAAATGTTCACCTGAACACAGTAAGACAGCAGTTGAATTTTGTCATCTGGTACATTTGCCTTTTCTTAAAATTAGAGGAGAGAAAGAGAACTCAATGAACATTCAACCTAAAAATCAGTCAAAGCCCACATTTCAAGTACTTCCTGGGACCATTCCATGGTTCAAATAACTAACTCCCTGCCACACTTCCCAGTAGAAGCTAATTTTGAAATTTTGATATCATACAGTGATATGTATTAGATTTACAAGATTCAAAACTCAAAAGGTACCAAATGATGTATAGTGAAGTCAGTCTCTCTCACTCCTGTGTCTTAGCCATGCACCTTTTCTCTCCGAGGTATGAAATATGTTTCTTGTTACTCCATCTAGAGATCATCCATGCACATTTAAGCAAGTACAAAGATGTATATGTATGGCTACCCCTCGTTACTTTGTTTTTAGTAAGTAGTAACATACTGTACCCACTGCTCTACACCTTGCCTTCCACTGAGTATACAATGAAGTCACTTCCATGTTAGCATACAAAACCTCCTTCCTCATTGGGCAGCTGCCCTGAGGATCTGTTAGATGAATGTGACCAGCCTCCTGCTGACCCCAGGTTTCAGGTGTTTTTTCATCTTTTTTTATTACAAATAATACTACTAGGAATTAACTCCAACCACTTCCCTTTTCACATTCCTTGTGGTATTGTGAGTAACCTTTCTTGTCATCTGAGCTCATACCTTGATCTTGCTGTGCCGCCTCCTCCTTCTTGGCTTCTACAACCAGGTGCCACCTGCCCATAATAAGCTCTATAGTCTTGCTGATTTTCCCCATTTAAGCACCTATAGTGCTTATTACGGGCAGGTGGCACTCTGTGCTTTTTACATGTATCAACTCGCTTATTCTTATAATGGCCCTATCAGGTAGTTGTAGTCATTATCCCCACTTTTAGATGAAAGGCACAGAGATGGTAAGTAATTTGCCATTAGCACATCTAATAAGTGGTAGAGCTGGAACCAAAGCTGGATGTTAACCACATTGCAAGTGCTTAATGTGGCTAGTGGCTTATCATACTGGGTAGTGTGAATCTAGAGTTCCTGCTCTTTAACCTTCGTGATACATTCTGTCTCTAAGCTCTTTTCCTTTGTTTCCCTACTGATTCCATCCAGTCAAAGCCCTAGTCAATGGAAAAAACACTGCATCAGAAACTAGCAGACCAAGATTAGTGTCAGACCATAACTCAGGCAGGTAGTCAGCGTTTAAGTATTAATATTTCATCCGCAAAGTGGGATAATGATGCTGATGATAATACCTAAATCACAGAATTGTCCCCAAGCTAGATGCATACACTTAGCACAATGCTTGGCACAAAAGTAAGTCTTCAATAAATATTACTGTCATCAATACTTAGTACTTTTGGCTTTTTGCCATGTATTACCCACTAATTGTATTTCAATAATATATACTAATTATGATATTATATATACTAATTATATCTCAAGAAAATGCACTACTTTAATTAGATCATTTGCTTATTTGATTTTATTTTGTCTTAGCATTTAAAGCATGAAGCAATTAGAAGCTACATACATGGTGATGGAGGGGGAACTTTTACTGACTCAGACATTTGGGAAACTTTGCATATATTCTATCATTAAACTCCATGGTAACCTATCAGGTGATTACTTATTATCCTTATTTCATAGACAAAATAGAAGCTATTAGATATTAAGCAAATTATCCAGAATATGAAGGATTTGTAGATGGATCCATGTTTCCCAGACTCCAGAATCTTTTAGACTCTGGGTTGTTTCAAGGATTAACAGTAACTAGATTAAAGTCATTTGTATTTTATATTCAAATCTTCTAGGTTCTTAAAAATGTAAATTAAGGCATTTTGGTACTAGTAATTTACACTAATTCCTACTAAATCACTATTTCCTATCCTAGCTCATCTAGACAAATCTGTCTACTGCATGGCCCCAAAGGTTTAAAACTACCCTCAGTATTTGGAAG